TCACTCCCCCTGCCCCGATGGGATGGGGGAGAGAATCAGAGGAGTAAGAGTGAGAAACACTCCTGAGTTGAGATAAGAACAGTTTAATAATTGAAATAAAGTAAAATAGTAATGATAGTAGTGACAATAAAATAATAATAATATACAAAGCAAGTGATGCACAATGCAATTGCTCACCACCTGCTGATCAATGCCCAGACAGTTCCCGAGCAGCAATAGCTGCTCCCCCGCCGACAGTTCCCGAGCAGCGATCACTGCTCCCTCCCCCCCCCCCCCCCAGTTTATATACTGAGCATGACATCATATGGTATGGAATAGCCCTTTGGTCAGTTTGGATCAGCTGTCTTGGCTGTGCCCCCTCCCAGTTTCTTGTGCACCTGGCAGATCATGGGAAGCTGAGAAGTCCTTGACTAGCATAAGCACTACTGAGCTACAACTAGAACATCAGTGTGTTATCAGCATTGTTCTCACACTAAATCCAAAACACAGCACTATGCCTGCTACTAGGAAGAAAATGAACTCTACCCCAGCTGAAACCAGGACACCAGTTCATACTTTGTTTGAATCTTTAGCTACTGAATGAAAGGTATTTAGTAACGATCCTACAGTCAAATGATTCATTTTAATTCCTGTAGCTTTAAGGCAATACAGCATAAACACTGTTTTGATGCAGTGTTCTTGAATTCTTTGAAGAGAGCAATACTCCATGCTGGACAAATGACAATGGATTTCCTCTTGCTTTTTTTTTGTTCTGTAGTGTAACGTTATTTAAAAAACAAAAGGTTCGGTTGCATTTAGGTCAGTTATTAAAATATTGCTGGTCATTTCCTTTGAGAGAACATTTCTATTGTCTTATACCAATGTCATTAGGAGGAAAGGTTATTCCCACTTGTCTGACTGATATCAATACATACTGGCATATTACATCCTCTGGCCTTCTGGAAATGCTTTATTTGAGCAGCAGCTTGGGAACAGGAAATTTCAGGTTATACAGAGTCTGGTTTCAGACTGCATGATACAAGATGTGTTTCCTAGAAGATGCTGTCTACCTGACAAATTTTCTCTAGTATTTTGTAGAACCGGATAAGCTTAAATCCGTTCAAGTTGGGAATAAATTTTTTACTAGCTGTAGATGGCAGACAAGGTAGAACAAGGTTTTCAGTCACTCTGTAGTATGTATTGGAGGAACTTATATGAACTCTGTTACTATCTCACCCATTCACCAGTTACTCTGGAATGTAGTTTACCTTTTAAGATACAGCAATGATAATACTCCTATTTTATAGGTGTTCTTACTGTATAGGAGGAAGAAAAACAGTACTTTTACTTCAAGCCATGGTCAAATGTGAAGTCTGTGACACTGTGGTAGCTTCTAAAGGCAGAGGTTCAAGGATAGCATCTTAGCCATGCTCAGCAGCCCTTTCTACCAGAATCATAGTGAGCAGGAGAATAGGAGTACAGTTTAATCCTGTAACTGTTTATTGAACTGTTCATTCATCCATGTAAAACAAAGCAAATCGTGATCAGCAGTTATGCCCTGTTGTGTTTCTTAAGCTGAACCTGTCAGTCCTGGGTGAATCTGTAAATTACGTAAACATCAGGTCATCTTCAAATCTGTACTCTAGAGGTAAGTGTTCCCCTAAGTGCTCCATCCACACTCTAAGATTATAAGTTTTTCTTTTTTTATCAAAGCAAGAACAACATCTGTGTTTCTGAAGAATGAGAGCACCTCCTTCCAAAACTGTTTCCCCCAACCATTTTTGTGCGACAGGAATGTATGGTTTTCATCCTAATCACAGGAATGAGTGGTGCGTAGACAGTTAATGCAGCACTGCTAGCCATAGTCATTCAAAAATCATGAATCATGTTGCTGAAGGCCATGACAGTGGTCTAAAAACCATGTTTATGAGAGAGGAGGAGGATTGTATTTCTAAATTGTGTTTCTCTTATTTTTGTGTCTCTTTTTTTTTGTATGTAGGTAGTGCATACACAGATTTCTTTGCCTCTCTGGTAGCTGTTAACTTACATGAGAAGGGGTGGAGGGGATGGGTAGAATGTAGCTGAGATTCTCTTAAAATTGATCCCCTCCAGGACTGGGGACTTCAGGAAAAACAACATGTGGTAAGATTTGAGATAAAATTGCCTTAGGAAACATTACTGACTTTTTTTTTCCCCTCCAAAAAAGCAAGATTTTCAAGGAAGCAATACATATTTCATGTTGCTTTCACTGACAAATTAGACTTGTATGTTTTAAGTGATGATGCTGAAAGTGAGAAATTCATTTTGATAACATCTTAATATATATGACTTCAGAGGGAAACAAAAAGTTGTGGAAAGAGAAATGCTTGAAGTATTAAGCCATCATACACATATACTGAAGTCTGTATAAAACCATTCCAAAGGGATATATCATGAACTACGGTCATCAGAGATAATAAAAATAAGCCTTCGTAATGGACATAGCCATATAGTTAGAGATTAGCCTACAAGTAGATTTCATTGTAGAGCTGAAGGTATGGTGCCCGTGAATAGCTGATTAAGTTTTCTATCTGCCTTTCCAGAGTATCAGAAGATAAAATTTATACACAACTCATTAATTTCTTTTCAGGTCAGAACTATGAAGTCTCACCTTGATAAGATCCTCTGTTTCAGTCTGAGCTTTTTGTAAACCTCTCCATAGACTCAGAAAGTAGCTGAGGTTGGTAAGAGCCTTTAGAGATCATCTAGTCCAGCCCCTCTGCCTGGGCAGGGGCAGATACAGCAGGCTGTCTAGAATCTTGTCCGGTCGGGTTTTGAGTATCTCCAAGGACAGAGTCTTGACAGCCTCTCTGTGCAACCTGTTCACTTATATTTATTAGTTTTGGTGTTACACAAAGTATGAATAGCTTGTATATTTTAGGGGACATGGTTTTTATCCAGCATCATTCATTTACTTAACCTAGGTTAAGAAACATATTTTTTTATGTGTTTGAATACAAGGCAGTCTTAAGATAGCTACTTCAAAGTACAGAAACATTTTCTGCCCTTTCATTGTAGCAAATGCTGCATACCAAAGCAGTTTTTTCCACTGAAGAGGTAAAAAAGGGCTAATGCTTTTTTTTTGTCTGTGCCGAAGAATGTAAATTATGCATATAATTTGTTTATGAAATGTCTGCAACTTCCAGGACAAAAGTAACCATGCCATCTGTAATGACTTTGAGTTCAGATGCTGATAAGTAATTTTATTTGAAGCTACTATATTATATCTTCACTTAGTTGTAAAATGCAAACATCTTTGCCAGTTCTAAGGATCTTAATGTTAACTGTACAATCCATGCAATTTAAAATCCTGTTGCAGTTAGTTTATTGTCATGTCTATGTGATATACAGAAATACAGATTAATTTTGCTTATACTCAAAGCTGACCAAAAGCCACATGACTATGTTAACATGCCCTGAGCTTGTATCAAGAAGACCTGTTGAGGACCTAAGTACTTTTCCATCAGAACTGTCTCATGTTCTATCAGCATGGAGTACAGGGTGAGTCCTCATCTGCCCTTAACATAGATCCATTCTAGGTCAACCAGATGTAGGCATGCAACATTGATCATTTTAGGTATGGTTTGTAACACAGAAAACCTTTCTGAATAAAACTTACTGTGCGTGGAAGACTGGTCTAAGCTAATGTTAGAGTAGTTAAACTGAGAGATAACATTGCTACTGTGCTACTGACACAGTTGTCTTCATTGTATTAACATTTTCATTTCTCTTAACTGTGTTTCTTGACATACAGTCAACTTGTAATAAAAAATTCTGCCAGGCTGTCATGGTTTAGCCCCAGCCACCAACTAAGCACCATGCAGCTGCTCGCTCACTCCCCCTGCCCCGATGGGATGCGGGAGAGAATCGGAGGAATAAGAGTGAGAAACACTCCTGAGTTGAGATAAGAACAGTTTAATAATTGAAATAAAGTAAAATAGTAATGATAATAATAGCAATATAATAGTAATAGTAATAATAATATACAAAGCAAGTGATGCACAATGCAATTGCTCACCATCCGCCGACCGATACCCAGACAGTTCCTGAGCAGCAATCGCTGCCCCCCGGCCAACTCCCCCCAGTTTATATACTGAGCATGACATCATATGGTATGGAATAGCCCTTTGGTCAGTTTGGATCAACTGTTCTGGCTGTGCCCCCTCCCAGTTTCTTGTGCACCTGGCAGATCATGGGAAGCTGAGAAGTCCTTGACTAGCATAAGCACTACTGAGCTACAACTAGAACATCAGTGTGTTATCAGCATTGTTCTCACACTAAATCCAAAACACAGCACTGTGCCTGCTACTAGGAAGAAAATGAACTCTATCCCAGCTGAAACCAGGACACAGGCACATTGAAGAGACTTGTGTATGGATGGCATTTATGTTAAGGGAATGAGTCAAAGTAACTCTAGTGAAGAGATGGTCAAGGTGAAGTAAAGCACAAGGGTGAGGCAACAGAAGAGAACCCATACGGTCCGTCACTGTCAGTACTCTATCCACTATTTGAATAATGGAGCAGAGTATTCCATAGTTGGTGTTAATTTGGCATATTCACTTGGCTGAGTGCTTTTTCAGTCAGATGCTGTGCAGGGTTGTACTTACCTGATCCCCATATGTTTCGTATCAGTTTTAGGTTTTTTTAATTCAAACTTTACAAGTTCTCAGATGCAACAGTATAATTTTAGGGAAGAACAGAATGGTAATTTGGGCCTATCTGTGCCTGGTAGTAGCCCTGTTATCAGTTTTTTGGTAGGTCCCTATATGGACTCTTACTTGACATTAAGGCTTGCTTTTGCTGTTTGACCTGGTTTTCTTCTAAATCATGATACAACCTTTGCATTTAATATTATGGTTTATTTAGCTTTGTCACAAAGCTTCCACATGTATATGTGCCTCTGATATCAGTATGGAAGGGGGAATGCTGGTCTTTCTATTGCTGTAGACAATTTTGGTCTCTGTTCTTTTCTAATTCAACAGAATTTAGCTTCTTGGAATCCTTCAAACCCTGAATGCCTCCTGCTTGTTGTGAAAGAGCTTGTGCAGCAGTATCACCAGTTTCAGTGCAGTCGATTACGTGAGAGCTCTCGTCTCATGTTTGAATATCAGACTTTACTTGAAGAGCCCCAGTATGGAGAAAACATGGAAATCTATGCTGGCAAAAAGAACAACTGGGTAAGCTATTAAGAATATTTCTGCTAAAATGCTTTCAGTGATCCTTTCATTTTCATAAATACAACCTTTGCCTTGGAAAACTTGAGTTGTTTCTGTGCATCTCCATGCTTTATGTTTCCAATGGAGAAAACGTCTATTTGACTCCCTGTCTATACTCCCTGTTTTGTACATTGCTGTCATTCCACTACCTTGGTTGAACCAGATTTCCCGGTGAGTAACTGTTTGTCAACCTGATGTTAGTTCATCCGATTTATAAATTAAAACTTTGAAAAGTGTTGAAAAGCCTGTGCAGTATTTACAGGGCACAGTACAGTGTCATGTGGAAGTTTGAGTTAGCTCTGAAGGTTTTAGAGGCAGAATAACAGTGTTGGTGTGACACCCTGCCCAGGCAAATCAGCCTGCTTAGGGGTAGGATGCATTAGGGTGTGGTTCCACATTATGATTGAGTTGATTTAATTGGTAGCTACAGCTGCCTGTATCTCTCTGGCACTTGTCTAAGCTGAGATGAGTTGCTTCAGGAACCTAAACTGGAGAGGAAAAAAAAAAAAACAACTAATTTTCTGCAGGACAGGAGGAGGTGAGATGGGCTAGAGCAGTGACTTTATAGGGCCATGTCTTCATACAACAGTCGGACATTAAACTGGCTTATCTGTTTCCTGAAGTTGTATCCTTTGCCTGGGAAATGTGCCATGCTGTGTAGAAACACTCTATGTATACCATCTCAGCCTTCTAAAATGAGGCTATTGGCACTGTAGACATTTTGTTTAGTGTGTGATTTGATTTTATTTTTTTTAACTGATCTCTGCCACAGAGTAAGCTTTGCAAAAATATTTTTTTTCTGCTGGTAATATATTTATCACGGGAAGTTTAGAGTAAGATGTATCAGGAAATACCTAATTGTGTTTATGCTGAATGTGTCCCCCTCTTGCTTTCAGCAATAGCATACTCTTAAGATATACTGGCCTTCAGAAGCAGTATCTTCTGAAATAGATGCAGTCTGAAAATCAATGAAATTCAGCATTCCTGTTACCAGGGCCTAAAATTCAGCATTATGTTACTTTAATCGTCCTTAAGTTACAGGTGATGCAAGGATGTTTACTTTACAACTCACAGTACTCATATTCATTTCTTAGACAAGTCATCTAGGCTTTGTTATTTTAAGCCGAGTAAAATTTTCTTTATCAGAGGATTTCAGATCTCTTTTTTTTATGTTTATAGATCAGAGTATTTCATTGAAATTAATTTGTTCTTAAATGTTATTCTCTGTAGCTCACATCACAAACAACTTGCCACATCTGTAAATATCATTGGACTGGTTTATTGAAATGCAGAAGGCTTTATGAACCGTACTGAGATTTTATCATATTTTTTCGGCAGCTGCCAAAATTCTGCTCAAGATTGTACAAAACTAGGGTTTTTTTTCCTTTTTTTTATAGGAAACACGTATCTACTTAAGCCTTTTGAATCTTTCCTTGGTCTTTGGTGACTGAATAAAGAACTTTTTTTGCATTTGAAATGCTGTCTTAGTTAAAGATGTTCCAATAAAATAAATCTTAAATACATTTTGAGGCAAATCCTTTTAATCATTGCAGAGCTATTTGAGGTTTCTGTAGCATGTGCTTTGTTTTCAAAGTTTACATTCTCTATCAAGAAGACTCCGAGAGTCTTGTTTGGCATTTCTATGAATTTAGTGTGTACATGACAGAGGCTTGTTGATGAGTGTCCTAAAACTCAAAACTATGAGACTGCCTTGTGTAGTTCTCCCTCCTGTCCTTTACAACTGTCTTGTTAGTCTTGATGATCAGTGCAATAGGAGTGTTTATCTGAAAAGCAAGAGGTAAACTGCACGTTATCTCCTCTGCATAGAAGTCATTGAAATTCATGTTGTTGCTGTCTCTCAGGAATCGATAGTAGCTCAGCAGACTTCTGAAATAATCATCTATGAATGAACCTTGCACAGTGTTATGGAAGCAATCATCTTAAGTGCATGAGTTAAAGTTTGAAGAGGAGGTCTGAATTCAGTGCTGTGTCCCAAAATGGAACAGAAATTTGCTTTTACACCTTTGTTCCAGTATCTCCAATTTCCTGAAGTGATCTCCAGATCTATGACAAATAGACAAACTGTTATCTAGCTTAGTAGCTTCATGTTGGCAGAGTACCAGCTGATACAGATGCCTGTTAACTATCTAATCTCTCAGTGCTGTGGCCAGAAATTAATCTGATTCGACCTGATGCCTGTGACCAGCTGGTTGGGGTTGGGTAGGCAAGCACCATGGACAGGGACTGCTCCCTGCCTGTCCAGAACGCTTCTGGAAGTAATACATTGCAAAATAATCTTGATTGAATGTCATAAAAGATCTACACTGCAAGTCCTTATGTACCTCCACATCTTGGAGTAGGTGATGTTTTGCTCAGAGGGCATTGATCTGTTCAGTGGCCATCGCAGTTCATCAGACTTGGTATTTTACCAGAAATAATTTTCTGGATTTTATGGCAAAAGTTGTGTGGCATCTTTCTGGAAGTTAAGTCCAGACAAGAAGCACTGTCTGTAATACCCATTTCACTCTGAATAAAAAGCAAGTGCCCTGACTGTGATCTAAGCAGTCTTTGTGTTATATGTGCACAAGATGTCAGTGATTTTTCTGCATATATAAGTAATACAGCATCAGAAAGTTGATATCTGTCCTCAGGAGTGGTGTCATCAGGAAAGGATTCAGAGCCTGGCTTTAATGTAATATATGCTCACTTTTTGTTGCATACTGTTTCTATGTGCAATTGCTTTGCCTCTATTGTGTGACTACCAGGGACAAATTTTAAGGGCAATTCTGAGCTAGCTGGTGGCAGGGTGGATTACAACCTAATACCACACAAACCTTTTTGGCAGATAATATAACTGGCAAGGTAGTGTTGGAAAGATTTTGGTTGCATTCAAGATCTTGTTCTTTCTTGTTTAGTGACTGGAAGGTAGAATGAGTTATCTCTAGTTCATGCCCGACACATAGACCAAGAAACAAATTGGCACTGATATTAGCATTGCTTGTTGTACATGTGCCTAATACAGCATCCTTGTCTATATGTGCTTCGTTGCTTGGGATGAAATCTTTGCTTACTTTAGGCGTAAAATTAATTGAAGAAATCCAGTTCTGTAGAATTCTTTTCCTTTTCAATTTTATTTCATGTCAGTACCACAGAAAAACACACTTAAAACCCCAGTTATTTATATTCCTCAGCTGCCCTGCTTAGCAGCCTACCATTCATTTTGGAAAGCCAGTTTCCATTGACTTTGACTTCCAGTACATTCTCAGAGAGGCTTGTGCATCTGCAAGCTCATTTCTGTCAGTATTTTTTTCAGCCAGTTCTTTTCTGAATCAATATGCGTAGCAATCAGTGTGGACCATCGCTATGGAGGCTTGTGGTCTGGTGGTATATGGCCAGTGACAACCTTCATGTTTTCTCTTATGCTGAGCTCAAAGCAATTTATGGATTAACACAGCTAATTGAGAGGGGAGGCAAATGTGCAACTATTTTGCAAAGGCATATGGCACATTTTCAGTATCAGTACAGGTGCTAAAAGGCTTTGAATACATTCCTCTTGAAGAGTTGTCATAGCCTTTGACAAGCTGTCCCCACAGCTATGTGGAGTTCTTGTAATAACATCTACTAAACGTAGTAAAGCAGTGGCCCAAAAGGCATCCCTCTGACATCTGTGTGGGTTATAAGCCCTTGAGTATTGAGGGTGACTGAGCACTGGCACAGGTTGCCCAGAGAGACTGTGGGATCTCCATCCCTAGCGATATTCAGAAGCCGTCTGGACATGGTCCCAGGCAACCTGTTTGCTGTCAAGATCCTCTACATCTATTCCACGAGTCACTGCTGCATTTTACAGAATGGATGCTTCCATTGTTTCAGATGTATTACAGACTTTTGCTTACCACAAGGTATAGCTGTATACACAATAAAGATGATCCTGTTTAAATCTAGTGTAGTATTTACATTCACCCTTTTAATGAGAATTACAATATACACATTCACCATAGACGGATGTGCACTTTGTTAAAATTTGTATATCGTACACTTCTTGTTTAAAAGGATTTTTCTTCTTGCTTTGTCTGGCTATGCAAAACATTTAAAATAGTAAAATGAAAATAAGGTACAGATAACTATGTTCAAGGAATAGTGAAATAGTACATATGTGTTATTGTGGGAGAACAAATGCTGCATATTCACACAGCTTCGATTTGTCCTCTTGCTTGTTAAAATGAAGTAGTGTTTTTTAAAAATTGTATGTCATCACATAACTAAGTAGCGTATGTATGCAAAGATAGGGCAGTGTTAAAACTGAAAAAAGTTTTGCTAGCTTGTCTCAAGATGTCCTGATTTTTTGTACTTAACTGATAAAATTAACGTTTAATACTTTTTGTACTGCTAATTCAATATTACAATATACCTGTTGTATGGCTACTTTATTGAATTAAAAAGTACGGATGACAAAAAGTTAATATGGAGGAAATGGGGCAAGCATTTGTTTTTCAAAAAGAGACAACTTCATTGCTTCATAACCAGGTGGACAAAGTCTGGTTTTGAGGAAGTGTATGGAACAGAAAGGAAATCCTTTCCATTTCCTTTGCATACACTTTATGCATAAAAAAGAGCAATGTGTAGGGGATGCTTGGCAAACTTTCAGTAAACGGTTGTCTAGGTGTTAAGAGTCACATAATTCTGAAAACAAATTACATAAAACCTTATACTTCAGTTCTTTCCTCTTTGTTTATTCAGAGGAAACTTTTGGTATATTCTCACCTTACTCAATGCAAATTCTCTTATGTATAACTGCAATGTTTGTGAAGATGCCTCTATTTTATCTGTATGCTCTTATATATTTGTCAGGTTTTTAGCTTTGCTTTCAGACCATTTGCAGGTCTCGCCGGACCTTTGTCCGGAAATGAGTACAGCCAAGATACATCTATATTTAGGGCCTAACAAAGTATAGTCTGATTTTTGTCATGCACATTGTTGCATTCTGACTACTTTTTGTGTTGACTTACTGGCAGTGATGTTTTATGGTTTTTAGGGTGTTTTCTCATATAACATCTGTGAAATCTGTACGTTATTTTTTTCCTCTTCAGTAATTCCATTAAGAAATACTGTTTTAAATCTCAACCCTTCTGTTTGGTATGAGCTCTTACACATTTTTCTGGTTAATATTTCATCCTCAGAACATTCAATTTGTGGTTCTATTTAAGACGCCAAGTCTCATTAGTGTTACCTTTTTTCCTACAGACTGGAGAATTCTCAGCTCGCTTCCTCTTGAAGTTACCTGTAGATTTCAGCAATATTCCTACATACCTTCTCAAGGTAAAAATGAATGGCTAAGTTGACAGTATTTGTGAGAGTGTATGCATTATTGAAATATTCTTAGTAACTATTTTGACTTTCCTGCCCTCCTCCTCTCCAGGAGTTTGAAAGTCCACCATTTCTAAACCTGATTGGATTATGTTTTGGAAAGGTGATATTAGACATACTGGGGTTTTGCGTGCTGTTTTACCAGGTAGTAAATACACACCTATCACTCTAAAGGACCTTGCAGGATTTGGGTTGTTGTAGAAGATGACATGCAATGTAGATGTTCTGGGTTTTTAGACAATATGATAAGTAGCAAACTCTTGACCATATCCAAGGTGGTATCTTGGGGAATAATTTAAACATTTCCAGATAAACTCTTTTGTATGAGCCTATGGTCTATGGAATTTCATGCTATGTTCGTGTTGGGTTTTTGAATGAACAGTCCAATTGTACTAGTAGTCTTGATAGTAGAAGCAGGCAAGCAAACTAAATACACCAGTTCTTAACAAGGAGTGAAAGCAAATACTGATGACACAAACTGAAGGTTTCGGAGATTACTTTGCTTCATTGTTTACAATGAACACTAATTTGACCAGATACTTTAGAAAGTAGGACTATAGAGTATTGATGTGAGTTGAAAAAAAGTATTTCTTTCTTTCCTACAAGGGGGAGGGGGAACAAACAGAAAAAACTTCTGACAAACTACCAACATGGAATAATTTGAGATGAGTGGTTTTCACAGCAGGAGGACAGTCTCTCATTCAAGCAGTTACTGTGAAAGCCCATCATAAGGTCAATGCTACTATATTCAGAGAACACAGTGAGAGATCTGGGTTCTCTGTGTCTATCATTACTGTCAGAATGAAGTGCCAGAACTTTTACTGCAGACAAGGTTTGAGTCAGCTGATGTTACCAACACCAGTCTTTCCTTTAAACTGCATGTCTGCCTCCTTATAAAGCTTTTTACTTTTAAACAGCTACTTAATGTTTAGCAACTAATGTGTTGAGATGAAAATGTCAGTGTAGATCCCATTACCTCCTCTTCATCTTATTGTTAGAACTGTCTTCAACTATTGTTAGATCACAATTGCAAGTGTGAATCTTCAGTGTTTTTCCAAATAAGATGTCTCGAGCTAAGAACCATGAAAATAAAGGCAGGCACAACTATAATCTGACTGAAATTTTTGGTTGTAGTCTGAGATCGGTATCCTACAATCTCTTTACCTTCTGTAGACTGTTTGCTGTTTGAGTAATGAGCTACCTGCTCCGAACTTTCTCAAAAGCATCCAGATATTTTCAGTTTCTTCCTGTGTTTATGGTAGCAGCCCTTCTCCCAGCTCCTGTCTTTCATCAGGGCCTTGTCTTCTCACTTGATGGGAACATTTCCAGTCAGATGTAGAGAGGGTTGGCCAAGGCCTTTTCGGGAAGGATGGTGTTGAGAAGCAGGATGCAGCAACAGTTCACCTGGACTGCAGGATAGCTGTGATTTGCTTCTGAAAGACTCTGTGGAAAAAAGGAGACTGAGACCGTCTAACGTGAATTATGCTGTCCGCTCCTGCCAGAACTCCAAGTGCCATATTTTCCAGGGACAATTTTAAATTGGTCCAGAATTTAAGGACAAGTGCATACTCAGTATGTTCAATAGATGCTGTCACAAGACTGTGTTATACATCTGTTCAGCCTCTGGGGAAACTGCAGGACTTGGAGGTTGGAAGGTGGTGTGTGACTTATGTAAGAAACTGTCATCATGTAGGAACCCTGTCATAACAACAGATTCTACTTTTGTTTCTAAAGAGTAACATTTTAATGCATGACAGCATACTCCTCCATACTGTAATTCCCTATCATGTTCACTAAATGTCTTCCACATTCTCTAAACAAGCTTCGTATACTGTGGATAAATCATCAGTGCTCCACAACTGCTTCCTGGAGCATTGTTCACCTTGAGTACTGAATGATTCATTAGTCTGAAGGAAAATGTGTATTTATTTTGCAAGCATATATAGATTGTGTGATGTGAAGAGGAACGTGCAGAAGATAGAATCAAAGTTTCCCAGTCTACCTTTATTTTCACATTTCTAAAATCTTAATGTCTTAGCTTTGTGGTTTCAAAATTAATGTATTTTTGTATGTAGTAGCCTGGATTTTCACAATGGCAGATCCTTCCTGATAGCAATGTACTGATGAAATCCTTAGCTTTCTTATGCAGACTTCTGCTATGCACACTGACAGGTTAACTGTCTGTGGTAGGAAAGCGATATGTAGTCTGGATGAGTAGCCACAGGAGAGGAAGTATTGTTTTATTCCAGTAGTGTTTGTTGATGGCAGAAGAATGATTTGACTCAGGCTCCAGCATGGATTATGACAGAGAGTGCTCCATAGCAGGCATGGATATTTTACCCCTGCTGCCTTTAGCTCCTTGTATTCTGACATTATCAGCTATATGAATGTCATCTCATATGACAACAATATAAAGCCAGGTAGAATTGGAACTACTCTGTTGTAGTTGAAGTAATCATGCTCTGACTACTCCCAATTCATAAAGGTATTTAAAAAAAAATCAGGTTTTTTTTTTTTTAAGCTGTCCATGTCTGTCTTACTTCTTTTCTTTTTTTTTTTTTGATGAGACTTTTGACATAAACAGAGCTTTGATTTGTTGCAATAAAATAGGAGCTTATTTTCCATCATGTCTGCCAGCTATGTTGGCTTCAGTGCTACCTGCTGAATTACGGTACATGATAGAGCATCTATTGATGCAGTGGAAATAATTGTTAATATATTACCCTGAAAGGTGGAAGAGCAGTAAGTAATTGAAGGCTGTTAGTGTATTAACAGCTTAATGTTTAACTGCAGAATTTAACATGTTTGAATTATGCTCTAGTCTGTAGCCAGCCTTATAGTGTGCAGTAGCTTCTCTGTTACTATTTGCAAAGTTCAAACCTGTATTATACTTTCTCTGCCATCTTCTTTTTTGATGTTTAATCAATACTACTTGTATTAAAATCTGGTGAAATATTTAAGGACCATTCATCAATCACTCCTAGTACTCCAGTGATTTGTAATGCTCTTCTGAAATTTTTATTGATGTCAGTAGGTAATCACACTACAACTGTGCCTGTAAAGCTTTGTATAGTAACCCAATATTGAGGTTTGAGGATGTAAGCTGTGAGAACAGTCTGTAGTGTTGCAGAATCTTTGAAGTTGTTGAGAATACACGCTGGAATCATAAGATCTTACTCTGTCAGTTTTGTACTGATGGTGGTGAGAGTATTCTCCTTTCCCTATAAAGAATAAAAATTTGAAGTCATTGCGTAAGTTGGGTTTTTATGGACTTGACAGGGGGATTTAACAGGTTATTTTAAAGGTATTTGCTGCACTAAATTTAAAATTCAGTTCAAGTGTGTGTGCATTTTAAGGAAAATAGCTGAGTATGTGAAGAAGAGCGAGAATGATTGAGAGCAATGCAGACTACACTGTCTTCCTCTGAATTCTGAAATTCTAGTAAAAGTTCTTCAGTTACTATTTATTTGGAAACATAATACGCCTTGTAATAGCTGCAGCAGATAAATCTTTTTTTGTAAGTTTTCTTGGCATATTCTGTCACATTTGAAAGAAAAAGTATCATTCTTTATTTTCCAAGCTAAAGAACTGTTCAGAAAGAAATGTTGGTTTACACTGAAAAAGCACATTTAGGAAAAGACACCCTTTCATTATTTTTTCCTTTACAAAGTTATACTTTTATACAAAGGTTTTGAATTGAATGTGGACCTTCATATCCACTTTTGTTTTCTTATGCAAATCCATTTGACACAAATGGAAATTTTCATTGTTGAAACAACTGCAGAATCAAGCTGGTGGCTCAAACTACTGCAAGGTTCATTACTGATAAGTCTTTCGTTTTCATTAAGGTTCTCTTATTTGACAAGAACGTGGCTTTGGCTCAGGAAAATCCTTACATCTGTATCTGCCTACTTTCCCTTTCCCTTTTTCGCAGTTAGGTTTTTAATCGGCACATGCATTTTGGCTTAAATTCATTTCTGTGGGTTGCAACATTTTTAATTTTTGCCACAGTATTTTATAAATGGAAGTATTCACTGTACATACTGGTTTTGAGAGTCGCTTTCTAGTTCACATTTGTGTCTCTTTACAGGTCCCATGCATGCCACAGTAATAATGGAGGTAATAGACTTAGCATCTAAAATACCTCATCCAAATTTTGTTTCATTCTTTGTAGTTTTGGTCAGCTACAGGGACATGTGTTATCATAATGATAATTCATTAAATATCTCCAGCTGAGTAATTTACAAATTGTACTGGATTATGTGACTGCAGTATGATTGCACAGTATGAGTGAAATTTAGAGTATGTTGCCCAGTGATGCTGTTGAAAACAAGACATTTAGGTATTGTTCTTTTATTTCCGTGTTTTTTTGAGGTTTTGACTAAGTAAGATATGCCCTGATTACCACCACCTTCTTGTATGTAATTTTTAAAGTATTCGTTTCCTATTCTTATGTACCTGCTAGTTTTGCCCTGGTGAATAGCTAATATCTGCACCAATTTAGCTGCGACGCTGTGACCAGCAGCCTTCCGATAATTTCTTACTATTCAAGTGTAAAGGAAATCTGCAAAGCAGACCTAATTCCTTCTTGTAGAAGATTTTTTAAATCTTTAAACCTGTTTTTTCTGAAGAGTTTTTTTGTGATGACCACTGTATTTAGTGCATATCTTTCAGAACTGAAACAAATAACAGACATTGTCTAGACACATTGCCGGGGGCCAAACGGTTGTGTGTAAGACTGTCAATGGAAGAGGTTTATCCTCAAGTTCAAATTGAAAGATAAGAACATATTTGTGTTTTTCCTTACTCTGATTTCATCATTTGGAAGTCTGTTAAAAGACTTCAGTGCAACTTTTGTTTACGACGTAGACCAAATTCCAAGTACTGTGAAAAGACTGCAATACCTGTGTACATTTGAGTAATCAACTATAGTAGAGAACAAACAAAAATTA